ATGGCCGAAAGCACTCGAGACACTGGAGTTCCGCTGAGAAAGTGAGCGCTGCAGAGAAGTCTGTATATTCTTTTTGTTAAAAGGGGGCTTGTGTCCTCAGATGCGAACTTGGACAAGGGAGGTCCCATTGTCTGTAGACTGTTTGGGTGTTGTCAGTGTTCTCTCGTCTCTCACCCATTTTTTTCAATGACTTTTCTTCAAGTCATGGGATGTGACCTCTGCATCAGGAACGATGTGGCCTCCCCAGGGTCGAGGAGGAGTTTTGGGCGAGTCTTCGCTCGTGAAAACCATCAAAGTCTTGACTTGAAATATTGGGCCCTAGTACGTAAAAGAACATATTTAGGGTGGGGGGGCTGGGGCAGGTGTTTTTCCTTGTGCCCCTGGCCGCTCTGTGGGTATGCCTTCGCAGTCCAACGAGTCCCATCCAACGAACCTCGACGGAGCAGTCGTGAAGCGCCAAGGTTTACCTTCGACGAATCTTTTTGGAGTGTCTCGTCTTGGAATTTGGCTTGGGCTTTCTTGCTGACCCAAGACAACACACAGCAGCACAGTGAGGGAAGCAGGTCAGCTGTGACTAGCTAATCCCTTTAAACGTTGCAGGGCCCGCTTGTGATCTCTGCTTGTCAGTCTCTAAGTGGTCTTCGAATCCTCTGCGAATCCTGCGAATCTCCTGCAGATCTCTTGAAGCCAACGGGCTTCTGCTTGGCTAGGCCACGATGGCTTCGAAGATGATGGGACTGGCTACCTGCGGCCGCTCCCGAACAGATGCTTGGACAGAACAGGGGTCTGTGGGGTCGGTCGGTCGGCGGAATGCGCCCGAACAAGGCCGATGGAGGTCGGTTAGCACTCCTCCAAGGGGAGTCTTTTTGGATATCTGATATCAAGTGTTGCATGGGATGATCATCTCTACTGGTGCCATCGCTTGCTGGCTCCTGGTGCCAAGTTTTGCGCATGGCGTGCTTTCTGGTGCGCTTTCTCGTTTCTCTTGCTAACATTTCTGAGCAAATAAACTCTGATCATGCAAGAATGAACTGCACATGCCACTGCATCAGACAATTTCTTGTTGAACACAACACAGATTCTCCCTGAGGTTGGTGGGGAATGGTTTGCTGCCATCATGTTGCCACGCAAAACTCAGGCAAATATGCTGATCAAAGGTATGTGTGCCACCCTTAGTTTCGACTGACGACACGTAAACCAGCTCGAAACTGGGGTTCACCAGCTCGTTCATGTACGGAACGCGATCAGGCGGACGTGAACGCACAAGGGGAAGGTTGGTTTGGACAAGTCACTGTTTGGACCTTCCTTTCAACGCGCACAACGCACAAACAAAGTGCATCATGCACTGGCACCAGAGATGGTTGAGACTTGGTCCAAGAACCAATCACATTGGATAGTTATATACTCAGAACTTCAGAGTCAAAGCATGACCTCGCCCAGTCAAAACGTCTTTCGCGGAGCCCTCCAACATCCTGGTGAGGTTTGACACCTTTGGTCAGCGAGTGCTGGATAATGCTTGGAATGGCTTCCACTGCTGTCTTTTCGCATATGGCCAAACAGGAGAGTTGGAAACGCGGTCAGTGGTCCTACGGAAAATTTGGCTGATAGAAGCAGTCTTCTTAGTGCTCTGTCGCGTGATTTCAGTATTTCGATGGTACCCACACAAAGCTAGTCGAAATCTTAGGAGGAGACACCAAGCTCACCAGTGAACTCAAACTTGTCGACCAGGCATGGCTGGAAAAGGATTCGACCTTCAGTGTGAGTGGAGGAACACGGACTTGAATGTGTGCTGAGTGCGTGCATTTGCCAATGCAAACAGATCTCCCAGTTGCCACCCGTATGATAACTTGATATACTCGTGGGTTCGTTACCTAGACGCGCCTGGCGCTACTAGGGGCTCCTGCCCTTACTACTAGGAACAAGGACGCGACTAGGGGCTCCTGGCCTTACTACTAGGAACAAGAAGCTACTAGTTAAGTTTCCAAAAAGATCTAGGAACCAAATCATTAGTGTGCGAGCTATCCTGCGTCCAGTAGGTCGTAGCTACTGAAACCCTTACCCAATTAAGTAGGTGCCTACTTAATTAAGTAGGGAGGGGGGGAGCGGGCTTAAAAAATGAACAAAAGATAACCAAGAAGGACGCTAGGATGTGCAGCAAGGGTTGAAGTCGCTGTGCCATCGGAGTTTGCTCTTGCAGGAAGACGCTTCAAAGCGGTTACTTCTGTGAGAAGTATCTTCTAAAATTGTGATTTGGATGATGCGGGTGAGGTGGTGAGCTTTCTGCTTTGGATACGAAGGTGTGGCCGTGTGGCCTAGTCATTTTTTGTGACAGGTACTCGTGGCCTTGGTGCATGTGGGAGGTTTGTTTTTAGAGTCCAACCATTCGTGGAAAGAGCGTCTGATACCCCCGCTCTGACACCCCACTCTGTGGTTCTGATAGTAGTTATTCATTCGAGAAGAAGCGAAGCCTTCGTGATTTCGCGTGGCTGATTGTTCAACGAAGCGCCTTTGTCGTTGTCGTTTGCAGGAGCTGGCAAAAGCTACTCCATGGTAGGTGGGCGATTGATCGTGGAGTAACGGAGTAGCGAAGTGGTCGCGGAGTGGTCCCATGGTGGATCGTTGGTGCCCCTGAAAACCCTGTCTCGCAGCTTTCAAAAGTTGTAGTTGTTGGACGACACCGGTGAAACCTAACAAAGTGGGGGTTGGTGGTGTCACAAGGGAGAACTTGCAGGAACAAGTTTTGTTGCCAAATCATTGGAGAGTGGTTTCTATGTGTTTTTTTGGTTTAAATGCATTTTTAGTGCAAAACATCGGGTGCTTGTCTATGTTCCCGGGAAAGCAGAAATCTTGGTTTGAACAGGTGTTTTTCTCTGAGGGGCTCTCGAAACTGACATCCAGGCACTATGCAAAATGATGCAACATGTATAAGGATGACTTTATCAAACAAATCAGACACGACACGAATGGGTGTTTCTTGAATGGCTGCTTCCACGAATCTGCAAGAACGAATCTGCAAGAATCTTTGGCGCCGGCGATGCATGGGTACAACGTGCAGGCTATGGGAACAACAAGGGCATTGTGCCAATCTCCTGCGAGGCCGGTCGGTGATTCGCTGGGGTCTCATCCGTTTGTGGAACGGATCCGTGTTGGATCGGTGAGTCCCCCACCCGGTCGTGGTACTTCTGGATAAACTCGAAAAGGCCAGGCCTCTCATGCCCTTTCAGTTACTTTCAGGCACTGTCTTTTTCAGGTCAAGAAACCAGCGTCGCCGGGAACAAGGATGAACACACACACACACACACACACACTTGAGAAGGTTGCTTGAGAAGGTTGCTCCGCGGAGCTTGTCTGACAGGCAATTCGCGGTGAGCATTAGCCCTTTAAGTGAATACTTAGCACTTGACTCGATGCAACGGTAAGAATGCTGGGTCAGTTCAACAGAATGTTTTAACAAGCTTGAAAAGTATCGAATGAAATGATTAAAAATTGGCAGGTACGTCGAAAGAGCGTCCTCTTTCGATATCCTAGTCTGAACCTGGAGCTTCGTTGGCTCACGCCAGGAACAGACCCGTGAGCCCCCTGCTGTTTTTTCTGTACAATCTTGAAGGATCGATTCAAGGAGAATAGATAGCTAAAATAGGTCCCTTTGAGACAGGGGTTGACACACACACACACTGATTGGATTAAGGTTCTATTTGGTTGAGAGACTTCATACGATGGAGTGCATCCAACCTCGTGAGTTTCCTGTTTGCTTGGTCAATTCTGACGTTCGATACTCGAGGCTTAACCGGTTGTGATGAGTTTTTGATCCTACACGGTGCACGACAGTTAATGGACATCCTGCACCGTAAAGCACCCTCAAAAAAAGAGGGAAGTAAACCTGATTGTTTCTCCCGGTGTCTCCGAGATTTAGAGATTTAGAGATCAACTGGGTATAGCCAGGATCGTCATCTATGGGTTTCTCACGGGAAGGTGACTACCCTGGCTGCGCGACTCGGCGACCGCGAAACTCGCACCGAGGTCGGAGAACCCGAGTTCGGCAGGGTCGGCAGTTGCGCCCATCTCTCATACCTTTATGAGTGGAAGCAAGGCTATATATATATATATAGCTGCCTTTATAGGTTGATCTAGTGAAACTACAGGGAAACACTGATTCACCAGCTCCATAACAGGCCCTAGGCTACGCACAAGATAGAGTCTCTTCCATGAGTCTCTCTCATGGGTGCTCCAAAACGGACCCTGACTTCCTCCTCTTTTTTTCGCCAACGGACTGGCCGCAGAGCGCCAGGAGATTTTCCGGCGGATTGGCCAGGAGAAGGATCCGCAGAAGCGGTGAGACCAGACCGTCGGGCTCGGTCGGGTGGTGGTCCAGACCATCGCATCGCAGCGGATCGGCTTCGACCATCGGAGATGCGCACTGGTTGGGTTTTTGTTTCTCTCTCAAAGCGTATGGAAGTTGATGGCATGGCATGGCCCCCCCAGAGAGTGATTGCCATGTTCCTCTACAAAGAGGTGGTGCCAGCCACTTCCACGTGATCTGTTCCTTGGAGTGGATGTTCCTCCAAGAGCCGCTGTTGCCCTAAGAATCCGTGGCTGGCCAGTCTGTAGCGCTTTTATTGGGGAGTGAGATCAGCCAGTGGTGAAATAGATTCCATTGAGTTTGAAACCACCACAGGCTGTGGGTTCAAATTCCCATGTTCGATTTTCTGCAATCAGAGGATGTCAGAGTTTTTTTTTCTGTTTTTAGACGTGCTTTTTGGGCACTGCTCCCCTTGCAGATGATGTACAACGATATGCAAAGTAAAGAACGACGAAAGATCACCCTACACCCACGCTCTTTCGTATTGCGGCGGGGCAGGGTAGGGCCACACTTGCGGTGTGGGTGTTGCAGTGATGAACGACGCAAGTGGCCACAGTGGGGCAGACCAGGGTGGCCTGGGCTTGGATGAAGATTTCCAGCAGTTATTGCTTCTTCCTTTGCACCGACCCGATTCACACGGTTCACTTCTTGCATCCTCATTCCAAGCAAAAGAGTAACTTGCCGTCGTCCAAGCTCCGGAATTGGGCTTTTTGGCCACGTGGAGGACATAGATGGGCATAGTTAGTTCCTCTTCCTCGACCGAAATTCCACACTGCGTAGCTAGATTTCGCCTGCAGACAACGAGAAGAATTCGTGGCCACACCCGACGTTGGGACAGACTTCTCGTATTTTGTGGGTACGGTGGGTACGTTTCTTCTTTCTATTGCTACACACCGGGCCGAGTTGACCGGCCGCTTTGTGGTACGTAGTTTATTCGAAGCCGTCCTTGCAGGTATGAGGTCACCGTCTCGATGATTGAGATCTACAACGAGGTGATCTGGAGTTGGTTTTGTCCCGTCTCCAAACCAAAGACGCGATGCTTCCGAGGTCATGTTTGGTCTTGAATTAAGGGGAGAACCTCGGCAGGTTGTTGCTCCCAGGGAAATTTTAGATATGTCTATTTTCATTTTTAAATATACATTGGACCCGCTGTGCGGGTATCGACTTTATATATATATATATTATTTTTAAATATACATTGGACCCGCTGTGCGGGTATCGACTTTATATATATATATTATTTTGTTTTTACACACATATATCTATAATCTCCACATTAGTAGTCGTAGGGCGGTCACAAAATGCACTTGCGCTAGGCGAGGCACTTGACACTGTAACATTTTTTTCCCGTTCCTTCACTAAGTTTTTTCGCACTCTTTTGTGTTTGGTCACTGGGTTGGACGGACATTTGCGAACGGCGGGATGGCGGGACGAGGTGGCAGAGAGTCTAAGCCATTTTAGGAGGATATATAAATATTAAACAGTGGTCAGTTATTGCCCATGGAATGGAATAATTACCTGTGTTTGTCTGTTGATACACACACCCTGCCAAACCGGACTCTTTCCAATCCGTATATGTGACAGTTTGGATTAGGTGTGGTTTGGACATGTTGTAGTTCTATGTTTCTCAATTCAACAAAAGGAACCGCTTTCGACCATGTGGGCACTGGGCACTTTCCCGCTCCAAAACAACTCCCGAACTTGCAAGGGCCCTGCAGTGGTTGTATGGATTTCTGGAGCAAACAAAAGGTGAGAGGAGGGCGACTTGTTCTTGTGTTGGACCAAAGATACTCAAAAACATATCCGTTTCCGTTCATGCCTGGTATCCTAGGCCCTAGGCATTCGGCATGTAAACCACCTTTTGCATTTCGAACAGTCGACTTGGGCCAAACACTCTGATTTCACGCGCTGAACTTCGCGCTTGGTCGACGAGGCGATCCAGGATCTCCTCATTGACGTGGAACTACGCCCCAAAAAGGGCCTCGAAGTGCGACGCCCGGCGGCACCGTGGTTGGCACCCCGTGGTGCCGAGAGGTGCGACGAGCGGTGCCACGTACGGGACCGTTGCTGGCACGAGCGGACCGGCTGCTTTTTGTGACCCGCTTTTTCAACTGGACCTTTTTTGCCCCAAGAATCCGTGGTATGAAGGTCGCTGAGTATGTGGTAGCCAGTGGTTCTAACAATGGCCTCCAACCTAGTAGCGATGGCCTCCAACCTAGTAGCTATGTGGTAGCCAGTGACTCTGATCTCTTTCTTACCCAAACCATCCGCTTCTTGCCGGTCGCCGCCCAGGAGAGTCCAAGGCGAAGATCTGGGGATTCACGGGTTCAGACGGCCGGGTTCGGACGGGTGGCTGACCTGGTGGCGAAACTGGACTCGCTCAAGGGCGAAACTGGATGACCACCTCCAACTGGTGGAAAGTCACTTTGGGAAGGGTGACCAAATGCAACCCCGTTTGCTCTGGTCCACTGTGCCTGGTCAAAAGGAACAACCACAAAACGCAGACACAATCAAAGGAAGAAGTACAACAAGAAGAAAGTTAACATGGGATATAGTTGAACCATATATATATATATATATTATATATGATGTGTATTAGACACATACATCCCTTTCATAATGGGATAGACATACTTGATTGATGAGTTCTTGGACTCAAAAAAAAAACACCGGACTCCAACCTGACTCCTCCGCGGTCCGCGGTTCCAGGCGCTGGGGATCTACATCGATGGCGTGATCAAGCGCCCGGTGGAGAGCTACGAGGAGAGGATGCCGAGCCTCCGAAGTTCGGCCCGGAGAGTCTTCTGAGACTTAAAGAAGACTGGGGGAAGACTGGGTATGTAAGGAGGGCCGAACTTCTGGGACTCTCCTTATATACTGTACCCAGTCTTCCCCTCCGGTGATCTTTTCTTTCTTTTCTCCGGAGGGGGAAGACTGGGTATGTAAGGAGGGCCGAACTTCTGGGACTCTCCTTATATACTGTACCCAGTCTTCCCCTCCGGTGATCTTTTC